TTCACCGACAGATGTAACACATAATAATTTCTACTCAGAATTTTAACTGATGACACGGCATGGGCCATTTAAGAGTCAATTCATGTTGAATGTCAGAATTAATTTTTATTTTAATTTCACAGCTGCTTCAACTGTTTCTACAACAGTTGCTACGGAATCAACTTCAACACCCGTGCAATCGACAACTACATTACCTATCCCTACATCTACAAGTGCAATAACAACTACACCAGAATCAACAAGCACGGAGACATCCACTCTGCCAACAACAAGTGAGTCCATTTCCTTCTGAAAAACTGTTTTCAGTTCTGTTAGAACAGGATCTGATAAGGTTTGGACTTTTCTCTCTTGAAGCTATTGTATTCCAATGTTTTGGGAAATAATTCCAATTCTAAAAACATTACCATCGCAGTTATTTTAAATGACTTGTTGATTCAGAATCACACCTACAAAAGCAAGATTGTTCAACTTCATTCCTTATAACAGATCTTAGCAAATTCATGACATGTTCTTGTTTTATGTTTCGAAACTCTTATCATACCGAGGTCACACAATAGTGCAGTCACATCAACTGATGCGAACTTTGATGCCTTGAATAGATTCAATTTCATCAATCCTGCTTCTGGCCAACTTTGTTTTGTAGATTTTTTATTCAAAGTGGACATCACTGGCCACGCAACATGGTTTACCAAAGTTAAGCGCAATCCTAATGAACAGAGAAGCAGTTTGATGTGATAAATGCATTTGCTCTGAAATACAGTACAGTAATTTATGAGAAGGTGGGCTACTTTTAATAGTTAGTGAACAATAAGGCAGGGCATAAAGTAAGGCATATAAAAACACACACCGACACCTAACCCTCCCTCTACTGACCCCTTCTCCCGCCTCCAACACACCTCCTCCTCCTGGACACCACCTCAAGGCCTCCTACCCTCCCTTGACCTCTTCGTCTCCAACTGCCGTCGAGACATCAGTCGCCTCAACCTCTCCACCCCTCTCACCCACTCCAACCTCTCCCCCACAGAGCATGCAGCCCTCCGCTCCCTCCGCTCCAATCCCAACCTCACCATAAAACCCGCGGACAAGGGAGGCGCAGTTGTAGTATGGCGCACTGACCTCTACATCGCCGAGGCCAGACGCCAACTCTCCGACACCTCCTCCTCCCGCCCCCTTGATCATGACCCCACCCCCAAACACCTAACCATCATCTCCCAAACCATCCACAACCTCATCACCTCAGGTGACCTCCCACCCATGGCCTCCAACATCATTGTTCCCCAACCCCGCACTGCCCGCTTCTATCTCCTTCCCAAAATCCACAAACCTGAATGCCCTGGTCGACCCATTGTCTCCACCTGCTCCTGCCCCACCGAACTTATCTCCAACTATCTGGACTCTATTTTCTCCCCCTTGGTCCAGGAACTCCCTACCTATGTCCGTGACACCACCCACGCCCTCCACCTCCTTCAGAACTTCCAATTCCCCGGTCCCCAACACCTCATCTTTACCATGGACGTCCAGTCCCTATACACCTGCATTCCCCATACAGACGGCCTAAAGGCCCTCCGCTTCTTCCTGTCCCGCAGGCCCGACCAGTCCCCCTCCACTGACACCCTCATCCGCTTAGCCGAACTCGTCCTCACCCTCAACAACTCTTCCAATTCCTCCCACTACCTACAGACAAAGGGGGTGGCCATGGGTACCCGCATGGGCCCAAGCTACGCCTGCCTCTTTGTAGGTTACGTGGAACAATCCCTCTTCCGTACCTACACTGGCCCTAAACCCCACCTCTTCCTCCGTTACATTGATGACTGTATCAGCGCCACCTCGTGCTCCCACGAGGAGCTCGAACAGTTCATCCACTTCACCAACACCTTCCACCCCAACCTTAAGTTTACCTGGACCATCTCTAATACCTCTCTCACCTTCCTGGACCTCTCTGTCTCCATCTCGGGCAACCACCTAGAAACCGATATCCATTTCAAGCCCACCGACTCCCACAGCTACCTAGAATACACCTCCTCCCACCCACCTTCCTGCAAAAATGCCATCCCCTATTCCCAATTCCTTCGCCTCCGCCGCATCTGCTCCCAGGATGAGGCATTCCACTCCCGTACATCTCAGTTGTCCACGTTTTTCAAGGACCGCAACTTCCCCCCTCAGTGGTCGAGAACGCCCTCAAACGTGTCTCCCACATTTCCCGCAACTCATCCCTCACACCCCGTCCCCGCAATAAGAACCAAAAAAGAATCCCCCTCGTCCTCATGCACCACCCCACCAACCTCCGGATCCAACGCATCATCCTCCGACACTTCCGCCATCTGCAATCCGACCCCACCACCAAAGACATCTTTCCCTCCCCACCCTTATCTGCTTTCCGGAGGGACCACTCTCTCCGTGACTCCCTCGTCCGCTCCACACTCCCCTCCAGCCCCACCACACCCGGCACTTTTCCCTGCAACCGCAGGAAGTGCTACACCTGCCCCCATACCTCCTCCCTCACCCCCATCCCAGGCCCCAAGAAGACTTTCCACATCAAGCAGATGTTCACCTGCACATCTGCCAATGTGGTATACTGTACCGTTGTGGCCTCCTCTACATCGGGGAAACCAAGCGGAGGCTCAGGGACCACTTTGCAGAAAACCTACGCTCGGTTTGCAATAAACGACTGCACCTCCCAGTCGCGAACCATTTCAACTCCCCCTCCCATTCCTCTGATGACATGTCCATCCTGGGCCTCAAGCAGTGCCACAACGATGCCACCCGAAGGTTGCAGGAACAGCAACTCATATTCCGCTTGGGAACCCTGCAGTCCAATGGTATCAATGTGGATTTCACAAGCTTCAAAATCTCCCCTCCCCCTACCGCATCCCAAAACCAGTCCAGCTCGTCCCCGCCTCCCTAACCTGTTCTTCCTCCCACCTATCCCCTCCTCCCACCTCAAGCTGCACCCCCATCTCCTACCTACTAATCTCATCCTGCCCCCTTGACCTGTCCGTCCTCCCTGGACTGACCTATCCCCTCCCTAACTCCCCACCTACACTCACCTTTACTGGCTCCATCCCTGCCTCTTCGACCTGTCTGTTTCCTCTCCACCTATCCTCTGCTCTATCCATCTTCTATCCGCCTCCCACTCTCTCTCTATTTATTTCAAAACCACCTTCCCCTCCCCCATTTCTGATGAAGGGTCTAGGCCCGAAACGTCAGCCTTTCTGCTCCTATGATGCTGTTTGGCCTGCTGTGTTCATCCAGCTCTGCACCTTGTTGTCTCAGTGAATTCCAATGGTAGTTGGCACCTCGAAGGAACAGAACCAAAGGAACTGCAATATGGCCAAAATATTTTCTATTTAGAGAAATCTTTGACATACTATCTGCCTGTTTGTCGCCGCTACGAATGCACTGACTCTTTCACTGAAACGGTGTAACACTTGATAATTTCTGCTCAGAATTTTAACTGATGACATGGCACGGTCCAGTTAAAATTCAATTCATGCTGAATGTCAGGATTAATTTTGATTTTAATTTAACAGCTGCTTCAACTGTTTCTACAACAGCTTCTACGGAATTTAACACTTGTACAATCAACAACTACAATACGAATTGCTATATCCACAACTGCACCAATAAGTACATTAGAGCCAACCTCATTTCTTAAAAGAGATTTTATCAAAATTCATGACATAGTCTTGAATTATGTGTCAAAACACTTATCATACTGAGGTCACACAATAGCATAGCCACGTTAACTGGACCGATTTTTAATGCTTTGACTAGATTCCATATCATCAATCCATGCTCTGTCTAAGTTGGTTTGGTAAATTTTTCATTTAAATTGGACATCGCTATGGCAGTTGGTGAAATTAGAATTCAATAAATAAAAGTCTGGATTCTGCAGCCTTATGATGACCATGAATTCATTGCCAATTGTCAGAACAACCCCTCTGGTTCACTAATGTCCTTTCGGAAGGAAACTGTCGTCCTTACCTGGTCTGGCCTAAATGTGACTCTCGACCTATAGCAATGTGATTGAATCTGAACTGACCTCTGGGCAATTAGGTGATGAACAATAAATGCTGCTTAGGCAGTGATGCCCTCATCCCATGAATGAGTATAAAAAAAATGTTATTTGGTTCTGTTCCAAGGGGATGCTAACCACCATTTCAGTTGATTGGCTATTTTTTTTTTCAACCTTCCTTGATGTGCCAGTATTTGGCTGGGCTGGACTTGTCCTTTTTTTTATGTACAGGACAATTTTCCACATCGTTGGGTAGATGGACAATTTAACAATTCACTGGAGAAAGAGGCTCTACAAATATCTGCACTGTCAGTGATGGAAGAGTGCAGCACATCAGTGCAAATGATAAGGCTGAAGCATTTGAGCAGTCTTCAGTCAGAAGTGCCACGTAGATGATCCATCTCTGCTTCTACTAGTGGTCCCCAGCATCACAGATACATGTCTAAAGACTCACTCCATATGATATTAAGAAACAGTTGGTGACACTGGATACTGCAAAGGCTATGGGCCCTGACAACATTCTGGCAATAGCACTGAAGACTTGTGCACCAGAACTTGCTACTCTCCTAGCCAAGCTGTTCCAGTACAGTTACAACACTGGCATCTACTGAACAATGTGGAAAATTACCCAGGTATGCCCCGTACATAAAAAACAGGACAAGTCCAGCCCAACCAATTACTGCCCCATCAATCTCCGCTCAATCACTAGTAAACTGGTGGAAGGTGTCACCAAAAGTGCTATCAAGCAGCACCTGCTCAGCAATAACCTGCGCAGTGATGCCCAGTTTGGGTTCCGCCAGGGCCACTCAGCTCTGGAATTCGTTATGACCTTGGTTCAAGCATGGGCAAATGAGCTCACTTCCAGAGGTAAGGTAATAGTGAGAGCCCTTGAGATTAAGGCTGCATTTGAGCAAGTATTACATCAAAGAACACTCGCAAAACTGGATTCAATGGGTATCATGGAGCAAACTTTCTGCTGGTTGGAGTCATACCTGGCACTTAGGAAATTTGTTGTGGTTGTTGGAAGTCAGTCAGCTCTGCTCCAGGACACTGCAGGGGTTCCTCAGGGCAGTGTCCTAGGCTCAATCATCTTCAGCTGTTTCATCAATGATCTTCCTTTAATTATAAGGTGAAAAGTGGGGATATTAGCTGATGATTGCACAATGTTCAGCACCATCTATAACCCCTCAGATGATGAAGCAGGTTATTTTCAATTGCAACAAGATCTGGACAATATCCAGACTTGGGCTGACAAGTGGCAAGTAACATTTGTGCACACAAATGTTAGGATATGACCAATAAGAAATAATCTAACCAATACTCCTTGACATTCAACGATATTATCATCACAGAATCGCCCACTTTTGACATCCTTGGGGTTACCACCGACGAGAAATTCAATTGGACTCACCACGTAAATACAGGGGCCACAAGAGCAGGTCAGAGGTTAGGAAAACTGTGGCAAGTAAATCATCTCCTGACTCCCCAAAGCCTGTCCACCATCTACAAGGCACAAGTCAGGAGCGTGATGGAATACTCCTCATTTGCCTGGATGAGTGCAGCTCCAACAACACTTAAGAAACTTGACACCATCTAGGACAAAGCAGCCTGCTTGATCGGCAGCACATCCACAAACATCCATTCCTTCCACCACTGATGTTTAGTAGCAGCAGTGTGTACTATCTATAATATGAACTGCAGAAATTGAACAAATATCCTCAGACAGCACCTTCCAAACCCAGGACCACTTCTATCTAGATGGACAAGAACAGCTGAGACATTGGAATACCACCACCTGCAAATTCCCCTCCAAACCACTTACCATCCTGACTTGGAAACAAATCGCTGTTCCTTCACTGTCACTGGGTCAAAATCCTGGAATTGCCTTTCTATGGGCATTGTGGGTCAACCCACAGAATGTGGACTGCAGCGGTTCAAAAAAGCAGCTCAGCACCACCTTCTTAAAGTCAACTAGGGACAGGTATTAAATTCTGACACCCACATTATACATCAAGTTTTCCACAATTGCCGCTGCTGAAACATCTTCTACACTTTTATAACCAACAGCTACAACACAAATCTTTTCATCCACAAATGCACCAACACGTACAGAGATTTCTATGTCCACATTTACAAGTGAAAAGACAGCAACAACCTCAAGAACAATAATTAGTTTGACAACAACAGGAATTAGAAAGCTGGTCTGTTTGTTAGCAACTGTTTCCTACTGATGATATCAAGCATTATCCAATTCATGCCACATTTTATGATTGAATTAAAAGTGGATTAGGCATTGTTGGCTCCTTATCACAACAAGTGAAATAACAACTCAGAGATAGTAAGAACTGCTGATGCTGGAGTCAGAGATAACACAGTGTGGAGCTGGAGGGGCACGGTAGGCCAGGCAGCATCAGAGAAGCAGGAAAGTTAATGTTTCAAGTCAGGACCCTTCTACAGAAATGGTTCCAAAGCCCATTTCTGAAGAAGGGTCCCGACTCAAAGCGTTAACTTTCCCGCTCCTCTGTTGCTGCTTGACCTGCTGTGCCCCTTCAGCTCCACACTGTGTTATCTATAAGTGAAATAATAATCTATGAACACTGAAGGCAGGCCCAATCAAAACTGGCAATCATTTTTCCAAGGGAACTAAAATCTTTCATGGAGGAGCTGCTGTTATTTTTTAAAAAACTTACAATTATTTTGTTTTTACAGCAACCTCAAGTGCTTTGACTCTTGCTGCTGAAACATCTTCAACACCTGTACAATCAACCACTACAATACCAATCACTACATCTACAACTGCACCAACAACTGCATCAGAACCAACAAGTACGGAGACTTCCACTCAGCCAACAACAAGTGAGTCCACATCCAACCGCACAACTGTATTCTGTTCTATAACAACAGAAACTAATAGGCATCAGGCCATTTCTGCAGCAGCTATTTTATTCTAATTACACGAAAAATAATTCAAGCCTACAAACATTGTCATTGATATTAAGTGTAATATGACTTGTTGCTTCAGAATCACAGATTGATAAACGACAATGACCACACTCATTTCTTAAAAGAGTTTTTATTATAAGTCATGATATTTTCTTGAGATATGTGTCAAACCCTTATCTTAGTTGCTACACAAAATCATGATGTCACATTAACTAGTTCCTTTATAATGCATAATCCAGTTTCTGGGTAATTTAGTTCTGTAAATTAGCAATTCAAAACAGTGAAGAGGCACACACAGAATGTTTAACAGAAGTTATGCTCACTTATAAAAAGACAAAACAGCTTTATTACTTTTAGATTAATCATGTCTCAAATGCACGAGGGCCATTGGTGTGACTGAAGGCTACATTAAAAGGAAGTGCATATTACTGCTGCTGAAACATTCTAGTTATGATGCAGAGAAGCTTGAACAACTGGTTTGCATCTCCTAGGAACAGTTCAAAATAATCTGCCAGATGGTTCATTATTTTATTGGAGTCTGTTAGCCCTTTCATGGCTAAACTGTCACGTGTACAATTACCTCTCAGGTTTGAACATCTCCCAATGGCATGGCACAGTTAGGATTCAGCTCATGTTGTAATTCAAGACTACCTTTTCATTTTTATTGCACAGCTACATCAAGTGTTTCTACAACTACTCCTACGGAATCATCTTCAACACCTGTACAATCAACAACTACAATACCAATCGCTACATCCACAACTGCACCAACAACTTCATCAGAACCAACAAGTACGGAGACTTCCACTCAGCCAACAACAAGTGAGTCCACATCGATATAAACAAATGTTTTCCATTCTATAAGAACAGGAACTATTAACATTTGAGACCTTTTATGCAGCAGCTATTTTATTCTGATTGTATAGAAATAATGCAACTCCTGCCAAAGTTGCAAAAACAACAGTGAAAAACATCATGCTTCAAAATTTAACTGATTGCAAATCATGATATGATATTACTCGATACCACAAAATGCTCATCTTTGTCAGTGTATTGTCTCATTAAATCATGTCCAGTGGCTCATTCTTTGCTGCCTTGATTAGATCCACTGTCCTGGATCAGAGTAGTGGATATTTTAGCTTCGTAAACTACTGATTCAAAGTTGAGGAGGATATACACACAAAGTATTTTACAGATGTTAGGCTATCTCATAAGAACAAGACATTAAGTGCACATTGATGGTCAAGATGGTGGCAGAGTAGGATGCTCCAGTCGGAGTCCCTCTGCTTGCCAGTCCCTTCACCTGTTTCCCCTCTTTTTCTCTCTCCTCTTTGTGGTTTTCCCTTTCTCCCTTACTGCCACGCACCACAGAGAGTGGAGTTGTGGAGCGAGTGGGCCGTGTCCCGCAACAGAACCAGCACGGGTAGCATGGCCTTGTGCTCTGGGACCCTCAGTGAGCCCGGGAGCAGCACTTGGGCTGCGAGCCTGGAGCGGCGTGGGGGGAATCCCCCGGAGCAGCTCGTAGGCAGTGAGTCCTGGATGGAGACACGTTTGAGGGACAATCCTTACCTTAGAACACTGTCATGTTAACCCCTTAGTATTTTCCTATTTTTAACTTATTTCCAACTCTGTAATTAAGCAACTACTTCTATTCCTCCGCTGTATCCAAGAATTGTACCTAGGTACTTGTACCTAAGATGTTGCCGTAAGTATGCAGACATTGTAAACGTTTTTCATTGTACTCCAACAATGGAGTACACATGACAATAAAAGGATATTGAAATTGATATTGACATTACTGGTGCTGAAACATTCTAGTGAAAACTCAGAGACAACTGTACAATTGGTTACCACAACCGAGGCACAATTCAAAATAACCTGCTGGATCGACTTTAGGTTTTGTTGTTAGCAAATCCTTTGATATCCCAACTGTAATGAAAAACAATACCTCTCAGATTTAAACATTTCACATTTAAACAATATGACAAACAAGAATTGAAAGCATCAGACCTTTTCTATAGCAGCAATTTCCTGCTGATGGGGTCATCAATAATCCAATTAATTCCTGATTTTATGATTGAATTAAAATCAGATTAGACATTGTTGGCTCATAGTCACAACAAGTAAAATAACATTACATCACATACAAATACAAAAGGCATACTGATTGAAATTGGCAACCTTCTATCTAAAGGAACTAAAATCTTGCTTTAATGGAAGATGATCACAGTTGAGCTGCTATTCTTTTTAAAATCCTTACATTGATATTGTTTCTTACAGCTAGCTCAAGTACTTTGACTCTTCCTGAGGAATCATCTTCAACACCTGTACAACCAACAACTACAATACCAATCGCCACATCCACAACTGCAGCAACAACTGCATCAGAACCAATAAGTACAGAGACTTCCACTCAGCAAATAACAAGTGAGTCCACATCAAAGTCAACAACTCTATTCAGTTCTGTAACAACAGGAACTAAAAGGGATTGTACCTTTCTCTGTTGCAGCAATTCTATTCTGATGGTTTGTAAAATACTTCAAATCATACAAAAATCAACATTGAATTTAACCGTTATATGCTTGTAGTATCAGAATCATCACTGGGAGATTTTAGTATAAGTCATGACATTTTCTTGAAATGAGTGTCAAAACTTTTATCTTTTGCAGTACACAAAATCACGTAGTCAAATCAATTGGTCCCATTTAATGCCCTGAATAGATTCACTGTCATCAATCCATGTTCAAGCTGAGATGGTTTTGTAAATTAGTTATTCAAAGTGGAGAACATGGCCAAGCAACATACTTGACCAAAGTTAGGCTCACTCCCACCAAAAGAATAGCAGTATTACAGAATAGATGCATTTTATCTCAAGTACATGATAGTAATTTGTGTAAAGGTGGGCTACATTTAAAAGTTAGTGCATATTGATGCTGCACATGAAGTATGTGGGAAAAAACTCAGAGAGAACTAAAATGGTAATTAGCACCTCCTGGGAACAGAACATATTTCCTGCTAAATGGATGCAATATTTTGTTTTTCGTGAAACCTTTAACATACTAACTATCTGAATGTACCAGCTATGAATACATTAACTCTTTCATGGATTGATTGTAATAAATAATAAATTCTGCTCATGGGCAGCACAGTGGCTCAGTGGTTAGCACTGCTACCTCACAGTGCCAGGGACCTAGGTTCGCTTCCACCCTCAGGCAACTGACTGTGTGGAGTTTGCACATTCTCCCTGTGTCTGTGTGGGTTGCCTCCCACAGTCCAAAGATGTGCAGTTTAGATGGATTGGCGATGCTATGTTGTCCAAGGATGTGTAGGCTTGGTGGATTACCTGTGGGAAATGCAACATTACAGGGATAGGGTATGGGTCTGGGTGGGATGCTATTCAGAGGGTCGGTGTGGACTTGATGAGTGGAATAGCCTGCTTCCACACTGTAGTGATTCAATGTTATTTCATTGGGCAGTTAAGATTCAGTTTCTGTTGTAATTCAAGATTAAATTTTGACTTTTATTGCACAGCTATATCAAGTGTTTCTATAACTACTCCGACTGAATCATCTTCAACATCTGTACACTCAACAACTACAACGCCAATCTCTACATCAACAATTGCACCAACAACTACATCAGAACCAACAAGTACAGAGACTTCCACTCAGCCAACAACAAGTGAGTCCACACCAAACTGCACAACAGCTTTCAGTTCTGTAACAACGGGAAATAATAAGTGTCATACATTTTTCTGCCGCAGCTAATTTTAATGCGATGATATGCAGTATAATTCAAGTCCCGCCAAAATTATCATTGAACGTAAAACAGATTACATTTCATTGTCTCAAAATCAGAGCCAGAAAAACATCATTGAAGAACATCATACTTCAAACTAGTCCTGACTGTAAATTGATGTAATATTGATAAATATGTCAATACCCTTACCTTTGTAAGTACATGTAGTCTCATTTACTAGTTCCGTTTTAATGCCTTGAATAGATTCATTTCTTCAAACCATATTCCCTTTAATTTTGTTTGGTAAATTACTGATTCAAAGTTGAGAAGGATGCCCACACAAAATATTTCACAGATGTCAGACTCACTCTCAATAAAAGAATATTTTCTTGCATAATAGGTACAGTATATCTCAAATGAATGAGATTCTTTGTATGACCAAAGGCTAAATTTATACACATTACTGCTCATGAAACAATCTGGTAAAAGCTCAGAAACAACTGAAGAACTGTTCTTCACCATCCAGGAACAGTTCAGTATAAGAGATAACATGGTGTAGAGCTGGATGAACACAGCAGGCCAAGCAGCATCAGAGGAGCAGGAAGGCTGACGTTTCGGGCCTAGACCCTTCTTCAGAAAATTTTTTTCTTTTTTTCTTGTTATCGCTACTATTTTTTGGTGTTAGTTGACCCTTTCATGTACTAACTGTCATACATAACAAATATTTTTCACATGTTAACATTATGGAATTGCATGGAATAATTAAGATTCAGCAGATGTTGTAATTCAAGACTAAATTTTTATCTGGTTTACACAAGTGCATCAAGCATTTCTACAAGTACTGCTGAAACATTGTCAACATCTATACAATCAACAATTACATTACCAGTCTCTACATCCACGACTGAACCAACAAGTACATCAGAACCAACATATTTCAACGCAGATATTAACATGTGAGGACACAGGAACAAATTCATTCACAGTGAACAGTTTGACAGCAACAGAAATTAGAAAGCATTCTTTTAACAAATATTTCCTACTGATTGTCTCAAAAATAGTTGATTTCATGTTAGATTTTGTGATTGAATTAAAAGCAGATTTTCTTCTTGGTTCATAATCGCGGCCAGTAAAATAACACATCAGTCCCAAAGGCATCCTGATTGGAAATACCAACTTTTTTTTCCAAAGAAATTAACATTTTGCTCTTCATGAAGTAAGATTATGGGTCAACGTTTGATCTTTTAAAGAAACTTTATGTTAATTTTTCTTCTTTTTGCCCAGATACCTCAAGTACTTTGACTACTCCTGTTGAAGCAAGTTCTTCACCTGTACAATCATTAAGTACAATATCCAACTTTACATCCATAACAGCACCAACAAGTACACCAGAACAAAGGATACAGAGTTCCTCTCAGCCAATAGCAAGTGAGACCACATTAAACTCAACAACAGTAGTTAGTTCTATATCAATAGTTATTAATATGCATTGGACCTTTTCTGTCATAGCTATATTAACCTGATGGTATTTAAATTCATTCAATTTGTGTCAAGATTATCATTGAATTCAAAATGGATTATGCTTAATTGCCTCAGAATCAAAGCTGGAAAAACAACATTATTCTTCAAAACTGTCCTGATCGTAAATCATGATATATATATGCTATAGCCATTACATTACATCTCCAATGCTTAGAATTCTTAAAAAGATTGAAGGTTATATTTAAGGGTAAGTCCTGATGAAACACTGTGGTAGTTACTCAGAAAACTGAACATTAGATTAGCATCTCCTTGGAATGGTTCAATATATGGCACAAAAAGAGAAGGGAGGGATGCTGTGATTATCCAGATATATATTAAGTGGGCAAGCGCTAAGTGAGCAAATGAGCATCCTGAGATGCAGCCTCATCCAATCCATGAGCTGGGTGCCTATCGCTGTTCACAAAGAGTCCCAGCTGCAGCCTTTTCAATGCTAATGTCTGGTAAAGACTGCAATGCAAGGATGTGCTTCCAGACCATGACCAGTGCACAGTACTAGTGCTAAGACATTTGTGGTAGGGTGGCTGATTCTGTATGCATATTAGAGGACCAATATATTCGACTGGAGTCTACAGTTCAAACCATAAGATGCTGTTGTCCAGTGTCCAACGTGGAGGTCATTTGGAACCAGTAACAAATTGAATTTACCAGATACACACTCTGGTTTCATTGTTGACCTTTCCCAATGTCTAGATTGTTTGGTAAACTCGGTCAGATGGGAGTCTGAATATTAATCAGGTAAGTTGTGGCATTACCGAGACAACATGAATTGGCATCCTACCACTGTGTGGCTAGACTCTCACCATACCACTTGTGAAAAGTCTAAAACATGGAGTGAGATAATATCCACATTGAAATGGACCTCACCGTATTTATTACCCGATACTGCCTCACATCCCACCCTAGTTCACGACGCTCAGGCCCCTATAAGATTCTGCCCATCATTTAATTCAATTCCAGTGAAGTATCATTCCCATCTTAACTGTTTAATTTCCTTCCAAACTAATAAGGTAGCAAGCATTTCTTTTCAGCTATTTTGCACCTTCATCAGATGTGATTCTTTCCATTTCTAAATCTCAGAGACACAAGAAATACAGATTAATTCATTGATTCTTTTCATTGAATATTAAGAGGAATCGAAGCTCATTTTAACCCCTTTCTATGGACTGTTATAAAAAAGACTAAAGACTTCTTTCCCATCTAAAGACTTCACAAACTAAATTGTCCATCTGTTCACATTAAAATTTTCTTTTGAACTGAGACCCGAACCTGCCCTCTGACCATTTGTCTTCCTGTAATTGTAAAAGTTCCACTTTGTAAATATTCAGCAGTTAAGTGCCCAATTAACTAATAGAGTCACTTTACTTAAGTCACATGCTTTCTTGGCAATAGTGTTTGAATCACTGCTTAAAAGTGACTTTCCGATCTTTTTAAAAGAATCACTTTCACAGAACTGACACCATGGGTTGAATTGTATATTTTTGGCTAAGTTCCAGTTATGACCGGTTTTTTTGGAGCCTATCTTGTGTGAGGCCAAGTGGGTTTTATTGCTATATCTAATAAACTTACATCATTTACTGCCTCCCCTACCCCATGGTACCCATGGCATCCATTCCAGCCCCACCTTACTGTGTGTCATTCCCAGAACAACTCACCACTCAGTGGATATCCATTGGCATCACTTGCACCTTTGCCATGTTTGAAAGGCTACTGTACACTTAGCAATCTGGTATTGCCCGTAACAGGCAACAATGGCATTGCAATCACAAAGCCATTCTCCACATTTGCTCATTCCTATTGCCCTTGAGAAGGTGGTGGTAAGCTGTTTTCTTGAACCATTGCAGTGCATATGCTATAGATATACTTATAGTGTCTCTGGGAGAATATTCTAGGACTTCGACCCACTGATTGTAAAGGACTGGTGATATATTTCAAAGTAAGATGGTGTATAGCTTGGAGAGGAATTTGCAGGTGGTGGTTTTTCCATATATCTGTTGCCCTTATCCTTCTAGATGATAGAGATTGCAGGTTTGCATGCTTCTATCTAAGGAGCCTTGGTGAGTTGTTGCAGTGTATCTTGTAGATGGTATACACTGCATCTGTAGCGGAGGAAGTGAATACTTGTGGCGCTAATCAAGTAGACTGCGTGTCCAGGATGGAGTTATATTTCTTGAGTGTTGGAGCAACACTTCATCCAGTCACGTGAAGAGTATTCAATCACACTGTTAACTTTTGCCTTGTAGATTGTGGGCAGGTTTTGGTATTTCAGGAGGTGAGTTATTCACCACAGAATCTCCAGCCTCTGATATGCTCTTGAAACAACACTTTGAAATTTCTAGAAACTTGTCAGGAAACAGGTCTTGACAAATTGGACATTTCCAAGGTGTTTACACATCATTTACACAATCTTGCACATAGTTAACTATCCTAAAGGACCCCTCCAGTCACCCTTGCCTATGATTTGTGACACTCACCCCCAAAGAATACTGAATTCAAAAGGATCCTTTTCTCCAAGGTCCAAAGTGTTCAAGCTCCAAGCTCCATATCCACAGGGGTACTTCAGTGGCCAATAGATAACCTGGCTATCTAAAAGCAATGCACTGAGAATGGACCTGCCCTTACCTGTTCAAATCTGTCCACTCCGGGTTCCAGATTTCAGGGATTTCAATGGCACACTTCTTTAAAGATGGTTAGTAATTTAAATGGTCAGCTGCTTCTGGAAGCTGTGCACACATGAACCATGGATCAGCCCCAATCTCACCCCTGTCCAAATGAGAGAGGGCGTGTCCATGGAGGGAACTTGTGCTTCCTGGCAAATTCCAGCATTGTTGCCATGGTAAAGATGCTCTCCATCCTGATGAAAATCGAGGCCAGAATAATCACAACCACAGAAACAGCTCATTTAGCACATCATGTCCATTTTCTGTTTTTATTACAGGATTCTATTTTGTTTTTATATTTTGCCATCATTTACACAATGATAACCAGGCTTACATTCACCATTTAAAGAACCAATGTACACCAGAATGTTTTGTATAGCATTGTACCATTTTATCTTATGTCTACCTTATAGTCAGGGAACTGAAATACTTGAGAAACATCCTGACAACAGTTTGTCTCAATCATTAATCACTTTTCCACATCATTTGCAGCACAACGCAAAGTAATCCTAAGGTTTACTGTCTCAAGTGAGGATGTGAATTTGGCTGATCAACTAATAAGAGAGAAGGTTCTCCAAAATCTTCAATTGTTCGCCCAGAAACTAATAGGTATGTTATGGAAAGTGTCCATGAAATGTGTATTTCTGTACTGTTAACAAACTCCTCTATCACTGACTGACTGAATGTCTTATGAAAATATATTTTACTTCACCTTATTTTGGGAACAGCTTTCTGACTAATTTCGTGGGGATGACTGAGATTAATTAGAACATTGAAGGAGAACATATTTTTATTCCAGAGAAGAGTAATTTTTAAGGTTTTTTTTACTTTATATATAATGAAAGCAATTATCATAGAAGCATAGAAACAGCACAGAAGGATTTCATTAAACATATGCTGCATGTGTAGCAGGGGGAATGGGTAACACTGGGTAAGCTTGCATCCATGGATATCAACACCTACCCCTTTCCCACCATTGGTGGGAGAGGGGCTGGGCAGCCTGCCCGTCATTGCGCCAATTGAGGTTCTCAGAATTAGTCAATTAATAGTCTGTTATGGGGTTTCTCTCTCAAGGCTGGTATTTTACCACTGGCAGCATGTGCCCAGGCTGTATAGCATCCAGCGGCCTTTTGTTGACCCAGGAAGTGGAGGTGCCAACTGCTTTTGCACGTAAACAGAGGCCCTCAAGGTGATATCTCAATACATGTTTGCCACACCCTACTTGAATAAAACTGGCTTCCCACTCCATTTGCTGGAACTGACTGGAGTGATCCTAGCAAATCCCCCAGTATCCAGTTCCATGACCACTGCGCCCAGTTGCACTACTGGGACTAGAGGACTGCTAGCCACTTGATTTGTACTCTGTTCTTGGAATTAAACTTCCTCCAGATGAGGGAGGGTGATTTGCTGCAAGCTTATTGACAGACTGATTGCTGTTAAATCAGTTCATGGCAATCTGGCTACATAAGGGAGGGCACTGCCCAGATTTTTCAGCTGGAGGTGCATTACCATTGACAGCATCAAGCCCTATGATTTAACCTGAAAAACATTGGCATCTTCATTATGAAAGAATGTCTCTGGATTGGACAGTTTAATATACTATTTTGATACTAGCAGAAGACCGCAAAACACCTGAGGTGAAATTAGTGTGATTAACAAATTCTATCATGCCCTCCACCCCTTCCAAACCACATGTGATTTCATCTTCCTCTCATGCCATTCCCATCACATCTCATTCCGTCTTTCCTATGCCAATCTTCTCAATATGCCATTCTCACCTGTGTGATTCCCACCTATGCAATCCCATCATTGTCATTACCCATACTGTACCCCCCTATTCCATTCCTGCTCATGTTAATTCCACCTTGTCACTGAGTCTGTGGTCAAATTAATGTACTTGTACTTAACCAATTCCATCATCTCATCTTTCCATCCCATGCTGGCCACTAGCATTTACTGGCAAACGTTTCAAAAGTTATCTAATTTAAATTCAATATAATTCATTATGCTTAAACTAAATGCAAGGCATTGCTGACCTACAAAATACAACAGGATCACTTTCATGGTTTCACTGGGATGAGTAAGTGGGATACCTTTTCAGTTCAATCCTGCTTCAATCCTAACTGCTGATTGCAACCAGTGCACAGCCAGATTTCACTGTTACCTTCCACAAGCTCTCGTGGCTCTCTGTATCAAAGACCTTTTTCAGGTCAATAAACCTAGTGAACAGGTCCATGTTCTGTTCTTGACATTCCTTGGTATTTCTCCTGAAGGTGTCTGTCTATAAACAGATCAGTATTTCCTTACAGAGATAGTAGGAACTGCCAATGCTGGAGAATCTGAGATAACAAGGT